TGTTCTTGGTTCTAGCCGAACGTAAGTAAAGTAGGAGGCATCACATACCGTGTATATGCATCCAGCCTTGTTGCAATTGCAGTGCACCGTTAATCCAAATGTCATCCACTTTTTCTCGTAACCCGGTTTGGATTGCCTCGTGCATGGTTGCGCGAAACTTGGCTGTGTAGACAGTCAGTAGGTATGTGAATCGAGCGGGATAATGTAGTGTTAGTGACGTACGATTCTCTACGAAATCATTTAGCCCCGCGTCCGTGTCCGCTTCTCCTGCAGTCTCTGCGGGTAACCATCCCATGACAGAGCATGAATCGGGGGTCGGTGGTGGCTGAGTGAGGAAGGAAACTGCATAGACTGAACCTATCATTGGAAGCGAAACGGGGTGGTAGAAAATGTCGGGCCGAGATGGGTCTGATATTGCTGGATTGGAAGTTGAATAGCGCGCAAAGAGAGCATGCGTGCGACTGGTTAGAGACGCAGCTCGGGAAGCGTGCACTGAGAGGATACGGGTGGAAGTGAAAAGGCTGAAGGACTTTCTACACAGTAGCGAGTTGGACGGTCGTATTATGCACACAGCGAACCGTGCCGCCACGTTAGTTGATGCCCGTAGCATGTTAGGCGGTGTCTGAGACTCTGAGTGCTGCAGCAAGGTTGGTCGCCGAAGCAGTCCCGTCGATCGAGATCGGTAATGGCTGATTTTGGACAGTCACGTCATCCGCAACCAAACTGTGACTGCGACCCGTCTTTCAATTCTTCCAGCTCGAGGTTTCAAAGGTTAAAGTTAAATGTCTACGAGAAACTAGGTATAGCAGTCAGATGAGTGCGACATGCTCTTCTACTTGAGTTGGAAAGATAGTTGATTTATTTATTCAAGTAGCTTTTCTAGGAATAAGTAGTATGATACGCCGCCTACTCAGCTCCGAAAGCTGGAATGGGATTCAAACAAGCAAGACGCCATTTAACATATTATCATAGCCTCGACTCCACTGAGCTCCAGAACAATTGTGATCTATCAATGTGTATCACTCCTATGGCAGTAAGGCTAATCGCCGTATCAGTATTTGTCCTTGAAACACAATGTTGCATCATTGTGTGTGACGCTGTGCCAAGCGCTGATTATTGATGCATATAGACATAGCCCGACGACATTGACAGCAGGTTGCCAATAATTACACGATGCCTGTGAGCATTTGGTTGTCAAAGGCCGGATACAACATTTATTCTGTGGTGGACTTCAAGTAGTGTCCTTGCAAATTGCGAGTCTGACCCATTATCCAGAGAACTAACTCTCGATGCGATTCGTTCATTTGGAGGCGATCTGTTTGATTCATTCTCGTCACAGGGACAGCCTAATTCTAATTTAGAGCCAGGGGAATCAAAGTTAAGTTTTCCCAAACTATGTATGATAATGATATCATGTTTTTTTTTCACCTGCCATTATGATCTGTCTTGCAATGAGATCTGACACCGAGTATAACGATACTTACACGAAATTGTCGAAGATGCCCACGACTTCACACTGATCTCCAAGATATCACATCATGGCTTCAAGCGCCATCCCATTGGATTCCGCTGATGTATTGTCGACGCCGGTGGAATATATTCTATATGGTGAGTATCCAATATGTTCGTCCTCCCCATGCCAGCTGGGTTCTTTGGAGACATCACCCAAAAATCATATGTGACCAGACATGCGTTATACCTCTTGCAAACTCTACTTGCTGATGGGGTGGTGGGTTCACATTTTTACCACTATTCCTCTGGGATTATAGAACTGTCTTGTGTTATAAAAGGTTTATCACCGTTTTTTTATTTGGCACTCCGTTTGGGCTATCATCGTACCAAGCTTACTGTGGTGCATCTCCGTAGGTTAGGTCGCAATTTCTCAGGAAGTGGTGTGCTCTGACGAAGTGATCGGCATTGCTGCAAATTACTATATTGCGCGAGCCAGTACTAGTTCTGTGGGCACCTTCACTAAACCGCTTGGACAGTGGATCACTGCGTTCGTAGTTTTGACTATTACTACTAATCTTTCGAGTTCAGGTAAACATTTTTCCATTAGCGCAACGCCGAAGCGCGCTGAATGTGTACAGGATTGTTGGCATATCATGTCTGGGTGATTGACTGCGATAGTTCTACAATCCGCCCTACGAAGAGCATCATGATGCCGATAGTGCGTGAACTCACGAATGCGGCTGTTTTGTATTCTGCAATGCTCGTCACCATACCAATCTGTTTCCTCTGTGTAACATGGTCAGACTGCCGCCCGCATAACCGTTACACCAAAAGGTGAAATACTGAAAGCTTAGCTTTCAGCATCAGCGACAGTATATGTACTGATTTTGGGAACTCAGGTAAGCCGGCGTGCTTACACTCTGCTCGAATAAAAACTGATCTTCAACCCACTAGGTCGTGCCAATCATGGCGATTGCCTTCTACGTGCTCATTCACTTTGCAATCACCAGGCAAACTCGCAGTTACCTCTTAATTGTCCCTCCAGGAATAATAAGTGAGGTGGAATAAGGCAAACTATGGCCTTTGCAGGCCAATGTCTGCTAGCTTACGCTCAAAGATGGTATCTCGTTCTATGCAATAGAATTCATACCGTATTAGAAAAATATTGCGCTTTCTCGCAGCAGAATTCATGTTGTAACTTTACTTATCTACCTGTACTTGCTATCATTTGCTGTACGCGCTGTCCCATATACAAGCACATTTTTATGATGCTCTCTTCGTTTGAATCTGTAGTCCCTTCGTGGTATTCTGGAAAGAATGATCTTCGTTTGTACTGATATCTGAATACTGGTTCATTCTCTTGACTCTTCATGCCCGTCCGTATCCCTGATGATGGCGGCCATCTAGATTAATCATTCTGCGCTTCCGGATCCACATGACGTCAAGGCGTGAGACTGTATTGAGTAAGCAGCTGTACAGTACCATCAAGCCCCACCAATAGTACCTCACGCTTCCAAGGCGTTCTCGTCAGACACTTCCATCATCAAACAAGGTATGTTACAATCTGGTTTCTGTTGTTGCTTCTCGATTTAACCTTTCGGTACCACCAGGATGAGAGACAAGTGGAAGAAAAAGCGTTCCCGTAGGCTCAGGCGCAAACGCAGAAAGATGAGAGCCCGTTCCAGTTCGTATTCATTCCATAACCTTTCCCTCATCCTCTCACCATACCAAATCAACAGAGTAAACGACTAAGCAGAGTGAGCCTGTGACGCTAAGGCCTCAACAAAATCTGCGGTGTGCTAACGCCGGGCAGGTCTTGCCCTGTCCTCCTTCGCGCGCCAAATATTTTGGAGTGGGACGGATTCTTCTCAGCTGGACATGCTGCTGGGGGTGCTGCTGGTCGTGAATTGTACTCTTGATAAATGAATCAAATGTTGCTCTGTCCCATTCATTTTACACGGTCTTGCTATATATTGTATTGTGATGTCAGATCGCCGTGAAGCATGAATTTTGTGAACCAAAATAGCTTCGACTACCAAGTATATGTTGACGCGTCTTGCAAAATTACACCTGAAAATTCTAAATTCTCATCTGAACGTCGAACACATCTACCAGCCATCACTAGCTACAGAACATCTCTGCACCCTTGTCTCCACAAAGACTCAGAACCAACTTTTGAATTGACAATGAAACGTGCCAACACATCTACTTCTACTCCCAAGATCATTCTCAAGCCGCGCCTCGCGCAAACGCCAGCTACGCCGTCTGTCGTAGATGAAGACGACGACGACGACGACTCTGTCGAAGATGGCGAACTCCAGACCAAGAGAGAGGATTCAGAGGGTGTCCTTGACGAAGACGAGCCCGGCGATGAGGAACCTGAAGAAGGTGCTGTCGAGGGTGAAGGGGATGAAGGCGAAGGCAGCGGAGCGGAGGAGGTAGGGGCTGAAGGCGTGGAGCCACGACCGTTCCCTCGTCCACGGGGACGCCCGCGTGGAAGAGGTCGAGGTGCAGCCCCCACTGGTCCCGGTCGCGCAAGAGGACGCGGGAGAGGAAGGGGACGAGGGCGAGGGCGGGGTCGTGGGTCTTTGACTATTCGACTACCAAAGCGCGACGGCGAAGATGCTGACGACGCTGAAGCAGAGGAAGGGGAGCAAGATGGTCGACCGTTCATGCGAGTAGGAGGAAAGGTTTACTTTATTGACGGCGACGAGTTTGTCACGGACCCGGACGAGAAAGGTGACGAGAAGGTCGATGTGGACGGCAATCTTCTAGGAGGTGTGTACTATCTTTCTTGTCTCTTGACCTTGTTAAAACCTGCGTTGTGGAAAATCCAGGTCGTAGGTTCAAATGTCACACCTTCGTGCTACCCCAGCGACACCCGAGTCGGCAATATATGCTTGCCATCGACGCCGCGCGTGCGTCAGGGTTTCGTGATTCTCTATATTTCTTCCGGCGTAATCCGCTCGCGCTCAAGCTCTCCGCTACACAGCCCGAAAAGGAGTTCCTCATCTCAGCAGGGAAGCTCGGTGCACACCTGAAAACGCGTAGCGTCACCCTCGTCACCGCACGTAGTGCATATAAACTCCATGGTGCCAAGATGATCCTAGGTACGCTCTTATTCTTTTATCATGAAACTCATCCGGAATTTATTATTTCTGGCTATAGATGGCCGCTGGGTCACAGACGACTACTACGAATCGAAATGTCTCGCTGAGATCACAGAAAAAGGACTTAAGCCAGGCGACCTCGTCGGCGAGCTTCCAGACCCTCTGGGTGCCTCATCTCAAGCCGTACCTTCAGGCCAGCAACCCACCACCTCTACGTCATCGGGTATATATCGAGCGGGAGGACCTACGACCATTTTCGGGAGCACTGGTTGGGGACCGTTTAGTGATGGTCCACACAGCGCGGTGCGCAAATCGCTGCTAACAAGGGAGGGGCTCACGGAAGAGAACTGGATGATGGAGGCTGCGAGGCGTGTCAGAGATGCTGGTGAAGAATGGACGCGGATGAGAAGGGAGGCAAGGGTTGCGTGTGGTGGGATCCTTGGGGATGGACTTGACAAGGGGAAGGGGAAGGAAGTGCAGGTAGCTGAAGGAGAGGAGAAGCGAGGGGCAACTGAGGAGCTGGAAGGCGCGGAGAGGAAGAAAGCGAGAGCTGAGGAGTCACAGTATCCGCTTGGCGTTTATGAGCCCCACACAGGACTGGTGCATTGTATGTATATCTCTACTACTTTTTCCCCCTGTTTTTATTTTGTTTTCTCTAGATCGCGCAGACACGCAACCTACTCGCTGTCACTGGGAACAAATTGGACAGCGGAAGATGCTTCGGGGAACGAAGGCAGGAAATGGCGCTTGGGCGCTTGCGTGGGTCGATACACACATTGAACTGCCCACACCGGAAGAGGCAGATCCATATGCACAAACGAGAGCAGAAATTTTGGAGGCAGTAAGGGAGACGTGTTAGGAGATCAATTCCTGTCCCACTGTTTGCACAATGGAAAAGGTCATGCGTGTTGCCTGATGAAATTTAGTTATATTCAGGGGTCCATATTTTTTGTTGTTGTACCGAGCTTGGACTGATTGTGTAACGACAACAACGCCACTACGCGTGTAGGGTCATCATCGATCTTTACGAGCTTAAGACTTGAAAGCTTGATACCTGATACTATTGGAAGTGTTTGATAAGGACTGTACGATTTTTCGCGATGCCAAATGGCAATTCACTTGACGTTCTTCAACTTGAAGTGCAGACCGCGTTGACTGGATTTGAATTTGAGTTTGATGTCTCTTCGCACAGCTACCACCCATTCTGGAAATGCACTGCTAAATGCCTGTGCAGGCAACCCAATCATGCCGGTGAACCTCAAGCCTACAATTATGCATATGGTTCGTCCTAACAAATCCAATTCATTACCTCCCGGGCTCATTCACTAGTAGCGCCAAGTGGTCTCCGGTTGTTCAGGTCTAACTTTATGACAACTTGAAGGTCGGCAACCCTCGACTCGAACGAATCACTAACAGTAAAAGCTCCAAACTGTCGCTGCCAACTACGCACGCGGCATGACTATGCAACATGTCAGGGACGAAAGACTTTGGCCTGCACAGAATGGACTCTGTTGGTACCTACTTGCTTCAAAATCCAGACTCGTTATCATTTGATGATACGTACTTGTTGACGAAATCCTCGCAATGCGGCTAACATCACCCTGTTTCATCAATGAACAAGTGCTTGCAGACAATAGAAAGATTCCATGGCGTTGTCTTGTTTGACGACATCGGCCCATCAATCAAGAAAAGAAGTCAGATCTGCAGTATCGAATTGAACAGATTCTCCCCCCTACCAGGTGCACACCATCTTATGGCAATGCGGCTGAACTCGTGTTTCATATATTGACTGGATCTTGCCGTACACAATGAAAATGAGCACAACATCCGAGCCTTGAAGGTACTGCCTTTGGAACCGAGCGCCGTGACTTTATCAATTAAGTGTTTTTCTGATGTGATAGACGCTGAGGAATGTTCTTTAGTAGCGGCCATTTTCGTTGTTCCATACCGGTCTTCCTTCGTGCCCTTTGTCCAACATCATCCATCTGGCGGTGAGTTTTGACTGCAACTCCAAGTCAAGGATTAGAATTAACCACACAGCAGAGCGAACGATGCGACTTCTACATACCAAGAAACAAATGTTAGAAATGCCTACGGATGTGGAACCCTATGCCATCTTATCTCACCGATGGCTCGCCGACCGTGAAGAGACATCTTTCCAGGACTTGTAACACATGCAAGTTCCTCCTAGTGAAGACCCGTGTGATGATCATGCGGTATGTCATTTCGTTCGAGCTTCTACTTGCTGGTATTTACCATCAATTCACTTCAAGGAGCCTACTTTCCCTTCCAACGTTCAAAACAAAGAAGGCTTCGCGAAATTACAAGGAGCGTGTGATTATGCCTCTCGAGCCGGTCTTGAGTATATCTGGATCGACACTTGCTGCATTGACAAGACCAGCAGTGCCGAGTTGTCAGAAGCGATCAATTCTATGTATGCATGGTATCAAGACTCCGCTGTGTGCTACGTTTACTTGCACGATGTCGGTGGCGATGAAGACCCCCGAGCTGGCTTCGAAGATGCTGATTGGTTCCGAAGAGGATGGACCTTACAAGAGCTAATCGCTCCAGATAACGTCTATTTCTTTAACAAGTACTGGATTAAGATCGGGAGCAAGGCGACATTTGTGGATATCCTGGAGAAAATCACTCGCATCCGCCAAGATATTCTGCTGGGTATACCATGCAAACCCAGTATCGCGGAGAAGATGTCATGGGCTGCAGGACGAAAGACGCAGAAAATAGAAGACAGAGCTTATTCTCTGATGGGGTTATTTGGCATCCACATGCCTATCATTTACGGAGAAGGAGAGAAGGCTTTTAGGCGCCTGCAACTCAAGATCATGAAATCATCGGATGATCAAACCATTTTCGCCTGGAAAGATTCACTAGACTATCCTCATCCTGACAGGACTCGCGGATTGTTGGCATCTGCACCTGACGTTTTCCTGCGGGGTTCTCCGATCGTCCCCATCGATGACTCCGATTTGATCGACAGTCTTCACACTGCAAGGAGTCCTAACCCCTTTCATAACCTGCCGCGTGGTTATTCCATTTTGAATGACGGCATTCGCATAACTCTTCCTATGAAGGAAGCCGGAGATGCGTGGCTTGCCGTCCTAAGATGTAAAGGGAAAGATCAGAAGTTTCCTTACGGGATCTACTTAACAAAAAGAGAAAATTGCGATGGTTTCCTTCGGACTTTGCCCACAAAACTTCAAGTACTCGATTCCGAAGATCTCAAGGACCTCGCCCCGCAAACAATACGTATTGTGGTCGACCATCATATACTACCAACCATTAAACGCCGACAATTCCTCACTCTCCAGTCTACAGATCCCGTCTGGAAGCACTGCGGCTACTATGTATGCCGTACGCCGGGAAGTAGCCATGATGTGGGTCAGGGGGGTGGCTACCAAGCTCTTGATCCCGACACTCGGATTGAGCTTTCAGATAACGGCTGGTGTGCCTGTATTTACTCGCAGGACCAGCGTGGCAAAGTAACAGTCCTTCTCATTCGGATCAGATACCACCGTCCTTGGGTACACCTTCTTACATATGATGACCTATGCCTACATGTCGACACTTTGCCACTTCGCCGTCGACCCGTTCCTCCTCCTATGTCTTCCCCTACTACCCAATCTAGCAACCGAGCCGATTCATTTGTGCTATCTCGCCCTTCTACCCCCAGATCTATTGTTTCTTCTCCTCGTTCACAGTCTCCCTCCTTTACTTCCACCGCACCCGACACCCCACAGAGGCGCTTTTCCACCCCTGTTGCTACCGCCGGAACCAACACCCCACAGAGGCGCTTTTCCACCCCTGTTACTCAGCTGCACAGACTCGGAGGTGGTACTGGGTGTCCTGTGTGTTCTATCATTCGAAAGTACTCCAACATGGATGATGACATCAAGAATCCCAGGGTTGATTTCGTGTTTAAGATCGTGCCGATGTTAGACAAGGAGATTGAGGTCGACATCCGAAAGGGACAGGTTCGCCGCGTCACTGAGACAATGCTCGAAATTGACTATGTCATAACGGTAGCATCTGACCCCTGGTCCGAATTTTGATTTAGCGACGTGGCCTAAATTTATCTAGAGTACAAGTGTAAATTCCAGTACTTACAGCAGCCTGTATACAGAACGAAGCCTTAGCAGGCCAGTCCAACAAAGTCGGTAATACGTCGAACCACGATGGGACGAGTCACAAAAAGGACCGTACCTACGCTCAAGAAGCAACTTGAAAGCGCCGAAAATCCTTGTAAGCGACATGTGCGTCCTTTGAAGCGCATAAAATAAATCACACCCCCTGGGAGCATGTAGTTATCAGGCATCAGAACAATATCCCAATATGGAACACTTGCAAGGCCGCTGGAGATTTTCGACACTGTGTTGTAAAGTGAACCGAAGCACTCGATCGACTGTTCAATATTCCATGACTGCATCCTGTCACTCGTGTGTTGTTTCGCAGCCTCTAGTACATGTCGATGGTTTCCGCGACAATGATCAGCAGTCGTTGTACTAATACCCCCAAAGTAAGAATGACTACTTACGCGACTTAGAAAAGTCGCTAGCATAAGCTTAAGTGACTCCAATTAAATAAAAGCGGCCAGGTGAAAATTTCAAATTCTGGTATATCATCATAAGCTGAAACGAACATGTCGAGTAGAGTCTGGGGTCTTTTCTTTGTGAATGCCGAGAGGGTGTTCGGACTTTGTGTGGGCAGGGTTTGAAGTAGCTCGAAAGGTCTGAGATCTGACTGATAACAAAACACCAGGTGGCGGGTGCCGACTAGTAAATGTGACTTCGTACTACAAGGTTGTTCGAAAGTGCTCATGTGATATTTTTTTTAGTTAGCTCAAGCGCTCAGGTCCGGTTAACTATGCGTATCAGGACCAATACGAGTATCATTCTATTTGTTTATTACCAAATACGTACTAAGTCATTCTCAGCTCGTCCTCGACTTCCTCGTCATCGGCTCCAACGTCGTACTCAGGTCATCATCCGTAAACACTCGTTTTTAGTTAGATTAGACCCTGACGACACGAGATCTGTAGTTATCGGTTCGATCATCAACAAGGTAATCTATGCCAATCAGGAAAACCCTCCAACCCAAGCTATACCGAATATTGCAAACTTCATTTTGATGGTCGCTCGGCGCTCAGGGTCCTCCAAGTTATGCTTAAAGGTGCGAGAAGGCTGGCCATTTCCTTTCCTACAAGAATGACATGCCCTTTGATCAATCACCTCTCAGTTTCTTCACCAGTGCCTCTGTTTACTCTCCATTATCGTGGCCGGATCGTGGCCTTGATGTCGCGTCCGGAATAGGAATTTTTTTCGGAGGCAAAGCAGCCGTATCTACGCTTGCATTACAACCGCTGTATGGTCGCAATGGCATATGGCATGGATGGTACAACGCACCGGGATGCCACGCAATTGTGGGGAAGCTGGTTAGAACATTGTTACAGGGTCCCGTTTCATCGTATCCAGAGAGACTCTCACTTTCTCTCGGCATAGATGGCAAGGAAGGGCCCAAATATATTGCATCACAGTCGGGAACAGTCCTGCAGCATACTCGCCGTCTTGCGTACGCAGTGCTTAATAACAGCAACTGGAGGGGAAAGCTGGTGGCTGTGGGTCAGAAGCCTAGCCCAACGCCAATGCAATTAATGATCATGGACTTGAAAAAAGTGCCCACAGAAGATAACACGCTTCCCCCAAGAAGTTCTCGTTACTCCTCATTACCCATAATCGCCAGCGTCACTAGCATCGCAGCTTGCGTCATTTGTGCCAGTGTCAAGGACTGGTTGTCCTTCAAGATGATTCTGCTCGGGATGGTCTCCTCTGGAATCACTTCTTCTATCATGTGCACTGGGACAATTACCCTTGGACGGGTCAAACCAGCAGATGGAGTTCCACCTGGAGATGGTATGCTACTGTTGGATAATCGCATCGTGATATTGAGGGGCAACGAGGAAGACGTAAACGCCGTGACCAAGGGAAAACTGCGACTGAAGATCAAAGGAGGGGTTCGCACCCTCCTTTTCTGCGCGTCCATAGCGTTGTCGCAAGTTACCCTACAGCTCATCTACATGCCTTCCGGGTCGCTACCAGGACAATTCATGTTCCTGTTATCGCTCCTAGTGTCTGGAGGATGTAACCTATATCTATCAGCGAAGGAAGAGGATGTGCGATCAAGTGCCCTCATCACCCTACTGGATACTCCGGAAGTGACAACGTACCAAACCAATTCTAGAACAACTGCTGCCGTTCTGGCATGCTTAGCACTCTGTTGGGAGTCTGACACGCTTATACCTGCAAATGTCCTCCGGGACATTGTCCCCATCCGGACAAAACCATGGAATGCCTTGTCTCAAATTCTCACGAAGAATATCAAGGATAGGAACAAGAAATTCGACTATCGGAATAGCGACGATCTGGACGTTCAGGAAAAGCTGCTTTTGACCGAACTCATCGGTGACGCTCATGCAGCGTACGACCGGTATATTCGGGATTACGTTGAATAGTTGAACCAGTATCTGCACCATGTACATATGGCGTTCCTCCTACCCATCTTGCTTTATCTTGCTTCCTGGTACTGTACAGTGATTCACCTTTGTCACTTAGCCACTTGATTTGGGTTATATCGTTCGCTATTTTCACGTTTTGCAGTACACTAGGGTTCGGCGTTACCGACTTTCATCTTGCTTGCCTGCGATTTTACGAAGATTCCAGTTTGTGTACTCGAAACAATTTTGTAGCCGTTTTGGACGCTTTCCTCCTCCTTTTGTTTAGCTGAATCTATTACAACAAGTGGGTGTGCACAAGACCGTTCAACGTGTCGGTTCTGAAGGCTCATGGGCGTGTAAGATTGACTAACCTGTTTATAATTTAGTAGGAAATTGATCAACGTTATTTCGCCTGTTTCACGATCAACATGCTATGTACCATTGACAGAGTCATGGTCTCCGCTCATGCTCGTCATCCGTGCTAGCACATGGTTTTTCGGCATTGCTACCCTTCGGGCTGTCCAGTGTCGTGTTAGATTTTGGCACTGCTGTGAAAGTGTGTTGAAGGTGGCGTGTTCCATCCGCAACCAGTATGTCTTCCAATAGTTCACTGACGCAACCCAGTTTATTGTTTTGTGGCACTAGGTCTTCGGTAGTAAGCATCGTTCCGGAAACGCCAATTGTAGTTGCCAATATAGATGGTTTGGGAGGAAGTAGATTGCCGGGTGACATGTGCCAATCGGTCTTTGACTATTCGACTACCAAAGCGCAACGGCGAAGATGCTAACGACGCTGAAGCAGAGGAAGGGGAGCAAGATGGTTGACCGTTCATGCGAATAGGAGGAAAGGTTTACTTTATTGACGGCGACGAGTTTGTCACGGACCCAGACGAGAAAGGTGACGAGAAGGTTGATGTGGATGGCAATCTTCTAGGAGGTGTGTACTGTATTTCTACTTGCTCTATCTCTTGACCTTGTTAAAACCTGTGTCGTGGAAAATCCAGGTCTCAAGTTTAAGTGCCACACCTTTGTGCTACCCCAGCAGCACTCAAGTCGGCGGTATATGCTCGTTATCGATGCCGCCCGCGCGCAGGGTTTCGTGATTCTCTATATTTCTTCTGGCGTAATCTGCTCACGCTCAAGCTCTCCGTTACGCAGCACGAAAGGGAGTTCCTCATCTCTGCAGGGAAGCTCGGTGCACACCTGAAAACGCGTAGTGTCACCCTCGTCACCGCACGCAGCACATAAACTATATGGTGTCAAGGTGATCCTGGGTACGTTCTTATTCTCTTACAATGAAACTTGCGCGGAATTTATTGTTTCTGGCTACAGATGGCCGCTGGGTCACAGACAACTACTACAGATCGAAATGTCTTGCTGAGATCACAGAAAAAGGATTTAAGCCAGGCGACCTTGTCGGCAAGCTTCCCGACCCCCCGGGTGTCTCATCTCAAAGTGCACCTTCAGGCCAGCAGTCCACCACCTCTACGTCATCGGGTATATATTGAGCGGGAGGGCCTACAACCATTTTCGGGAGCACCGGTTGGGGACCGTTTAGTGATGGTCCACACAGCGCGGTGCGCAAATCGCTGCTAACAAGGGAGGGGCTCAAAGAAGAGAACTAGATGATGGAGGCTGCTAGGTGTGTCGGAGATGCTGGGACGCGGATGAGAAGGGAAGCAAGGGTTGCGTGTGGTGGGATCCTTGGGGATGGACTTGACAAGGGGAAGGGGAAGGATGAGCTGGAGGGCGCGGAGAGGAAGAAAGCGAGAGCTGACGAGTCATAGTATCCGTTTGGAATGTGTGAGCCACACACAGGACTGGTGCATTGTATACATATCTCTATTACTGTTTTTCTCATGTTGTTTTCTAGATCGTGCAGATACGCAACCTACCCGTTGTCACTGGGAACAAATTGGACAGCGGAAGATGCTTCGGGGAATGAAGGCAGGAAGTGGCGCTTGGGCGCTTGTGTGAGTCGATACACATTGAACTGCCCACGCCGGAAGAGGCAGATCCGTATGCACGAACGAGAGCAGAAATTTTGGAGGCAGTAAGGGAGACGTGTTAGGAGATCAATTTCTGTGCCACTGTTTACACAATGGAAAAGGTCATGCGGTGTTGCCTGATGAAATTTAGTTATATTCAGGGGTCCGTATTTTTTGTTGTTGTACCGAGCTTGGACTGATTGTGTAACGAAAACAACGCCACTATGCATGTAGGGTCATCATCGATCTCTACACACTTCAGGCTTGAACGCTCGATACCTGATACTATTGGAAGTGTCTGATAAGGACTTTGTACGTTTTTTCGCAATGCCAAATGGCAATTCACTTGACATCCTTCAACTTGAAGTGCAGACCGCGTCGACTGGATTTGAGTTCGAGTTTGATGTCTCTCGCACAGTTACCACCCATTCTGGAAATGCACTGCTAAATGTCTGTGCAGGCAACCCAACCATGCCGGTGAATCTCAAGCCTACAATTATGCATATGGTTCGTCCTAATAAATCTAACTCATTACCTCCCATTCACTAGTAGCGCCAAGTGGTCTCCGGTTGTTCAGGTCTAACTTTATGACAACTTGAAGGTCGGCAACCCTCGACTCGAATGAATCACTAATAGTAAAAGCTCCAAGCTGTCACTGCCAACTACACACGTGGGATGACTATACGACATATCAGGGACGAAAGATTCTGACTCTGCAGTGTCGTCGTGTTTGGACTCTGTTGGTACCTACTTGCTTCAAATCCAGACTTGTCATCCTTTGATGGTACGTACTTATTGACAAAATGCTGACATCACCTTGTGTCATCAATGAACAAGTGCTTGCAGAAAATAGATTCCATGCTGCTGTCTTGTTTGACGACATCGGTACATCAATCAAGGAAAGTCAAGTAAACAAGTCAGATCTGCGGTATTGAATTAAACAGACAGATTCTTCCCCCTACTTGGTGCATACTGTCATATAGCAATGCGACTGACCTCGTTTTTCATAACGATGGTAATAATGGCTGCCAGTGGATCTTGCCGTACTCGACGAAAATAAGCACAGCATCCGAGCCTTGCAAGCACTGCCTTTGGAGTCGAGCGCTGTGACCTTATCGATCAAGTTCCTTTCCGATCACGGTGATAGACGCTGAGAAATGTTCTTTAGTCGCGGCCGTTTTCGTTGTTCCATGCCGGTCTTCCTTCGTGCCCTTTGTCCAATATCATCCGTCTGGCGGTGAGTCTCTGCTTTGACTGCAACTCCAAGTCAAGGGATTGGAATTAACCACACAGCAGAGCGAACGATGCGACTTCTACATACCGAGAAACTAATATTAGAAACGCCCACGGTTGTGCGACCTTACGCCATCTTATCTCACCGATGGTTCGCCGACCGTGAAGAGATATCTTTCCAAGACTTGCAACGCACGCAAGTTCCTCCTAGTGAAGGCCCTCACGTTAATTATGCGGTATGTCATTTCGCTCGAGCTTCTACTTGCTGGTGTTTACCATCAATCTACTTTAAGGAACCCACTTTCCCTCCCAACGTTCAAAGCAAACAAGGCTATGAGAAGTTCCGACGAGCGCGCGATCATGCATCTCGAGCTGGTCTTGAGCATATCTGGATCGACACTTGCTGCATTGATAAGACCAGCAGTGCCGAGTTATCAGAAGCGATCAATTCCATGTACACATGGTATCGGGACTCCGCTGTGTGTTACGTTTACTTGCACGATGTCGATGACGATAGGGACCTTCAATCTGCTCTCGAAAAGGCTGATTGGTTCCAAAGAGGATGGACTTTACAAGAGCTAATCGCTCCAGATAATGTCTATTTCTTCAACAAGCACTGGGTTAAAATCGGGAGCAAGGCAACATTTGCGCGTATCCTGAATAAAATCACCCATATCCGTCAAGATATTCTGATGGGTAACCCATGCAATCCCAGTATCGCGGAGAAGATGTCATGGGCTGCAGGACAAAAGACACAGAAAATAGAAGACAGAGCTTATTCTTTGATGGGGCTATTTGGCATCCACATGCCTATCATTTACGGAGAAGGAGAGAAAGCTTTCAGGCGCCTTCAGCTCGAGATCATGAAATCATCGGATGATCAAACCATTTTCGCCTGGCACGATTCACTGGCACATCCCAATTCTGTCAGAAATCGCGGATTGTTGGCATCTGCACCTGACGTTTTCTCATGGGCTTCTCCGGTCCTCGTCATCGAGCATTCCCATTTTATCAACCGTCTTCTTCGCATTGCAGGGAGTCGCAGCCCCTTTCGTGACCTGCCACGTGGTTATTCCATTTTGAATGACGGCATTCACATCACTCTTCCTATGAAGCAAGTCGGAGATGCGTGGCTTGCTGTCCTAAGATGCCACAGGGAAGACCAAGAGTTTCCCTACGGGATTTACTTGAAAGAAAGACCTGGTTGCGATGATTTTCTTCGGACTTCGCCCACAAAACTTCAAAAACTCGAGTCCGCAGATCTCGAAGGCCTTGCCCCGCGTACAATACGTATTGTGGTCGACCATAATATACTACCAACCATTAATCGCCGACAATTCTTCACTTTTCAGTCTACAGATTCCGTTTGGGAGCACGGCGGTTACTATGTATGCCCTAAGCCGGGAGGCCGCCATAATGTGGATCAGGGGAGTGGCTACCGAGTTCTTGATCCCTGCACTCGGATTGAGCTTTCAGATAACATGCAATGTGGCTGCGTTTACTCGCAGGGCCCGCGTGGCGAAGTAACGGTCCTTCTCATTGGGATCGAACATCACCGTCCTTGGGTACACCTCCTCACAAATGCTGACCTACACAAATATGTCGACACTTCGCGACTTTTCCGTCGAGCTGTCAATGACGCCTCTCTTCTTATGTCTTCCCCTACTTCCACCCTATCTAGCAACCAAACCGATCCAATTTCTCCTCTTGCGTTATCTTCCCTCACTTTCCCTCAATCTAATTCTATCTCTCCTCGTTCACTATCTTCTCGTTCACTGTCTCTCTCCCATACTTCCGGGGGGACCAACAACCACAGATTCCCACAGAGGAATTCCACCGCCCCTTATGTTCAGCTGGGCAGAGGTGGAACTGGGTGTCCTGTGTGTTCTATCATTCAAAACTACTCCGTCAACATGAACGACATCAAGAATAGTAGGGCTGATTTCTTGATTGAGACGATGCCAGACAAGCAGATTGAGGTCGACATCCGAAAGGGACATGTTCGCGTCTCTGAGGCGACGCTTGAAGTGGACTATATCATAACGGTAGCTGTATCTATTCCCGAGTCAGAATTTTGATTTAGTGGATGTGGCCGACTTTTACCTAGAGTACAAGTACATGGAGTATACCAATACCCCGGGTACTAGCACAAATTCCAGTACTTCTGTACCGATTACGGTATCGACATAGCCCCATACCTCGATTATGAAGGATTGCGTTATTCAAACAGCAACAATGGTTCCTGTGGGTAAGCATCATTGGTTGTGCCTAAAACAGATCACAGCCTTGACTAAGAACTAACCACACTGGATCCTGAAGAAGTGTTACACTAACTCGAAGCAGACCCTACCAGTTCGACTCATGAGCCGTAGCGTGCGGGTATTTCTGGTTGGAGGTCTTCGGCGGGGCTGAAGTTCCGCGCACCTACCCCACCTCAAACCTGTGCTGAGTGTCCATTATGGCATGATGGTTACTCAGGGTCCTCCGAGCCATACAAGAAATACTTAAAACGAAAGGGCTGGCCAATTCCCTTCCTACAAGGATATCATGCCCCTTGAGTCGCCCCTCAGTTTCCTCACCAATGCCTCTCCTTCCTCTCGATTATCGTGGTCGCATTTCGACCTGGATGTCGCGTCTGGAATAGCAATTTTTTTCGGAGGCAAAGCAGCCGTATCTGTGCTTGCATTACAACCGCTATATGGTCGTATGTGGCATGGATGGTACAACGCACCTGGAAGCCATGCAATTGTGTGGGAGCTGGTTAGAACATTGTTGCAGGGTTCCATCTCATCGTATTCAGAGAGACTCTCGCTCTCCCTCGGCCTAGATGGCAAGAAAGGGCCCAAATACATTGCATCGCGGTCAGGAACGGTCATGCAGCATACTCGCCATCTCGCGTACGTGCTTAATAACAGCAACTGGAGGGACAAGGAGTGCAAGCCAGTGGTCGTGGGTCAGAGGTTTAGCCCGACGCCGATGCAATTGATAATCGTGGACTTCAAGGAGAAAGTGCGGACGGGAAATGACACGCTTCCCCCAAGAAGTTCTCGTTACTCCTCATTACCCATAATCGCTAGCGCCACTAGCATCGTAGCTTGCGCCATTTGTGCCAGTGTTGAGGACTGGCTGTCCTTCAAGATGATTCTGCTCGGGATGATCTCCTCTGGAATCACTTCTTTCATTATGTGCACTGGGAAAATCACCCTTGAACGGCTCAAACCGGCGGATGGAGTTCCACCTGGAGACGGTATGCTACTGTCGGATAATCGCATCGTGATATTGAGGGGCAACGAGGAGGACGTAAACGCTGTGACTAAGGGAAAACTGCGATTGAAGCTCAAAGGAGGGGGTTGCGCCCTCCTTCTCTGCGCAGTCATAGCATTGTTGCAAGTTACCCTACAAGTCGTATTCATACCTTTCGGGTCGCTACCAGGGCAACTCGTGTTCCTGTTGTCGCTCCTAGTGTCTGGGGGATGTAACCTATATCTATCAGCAAAGGAAGATGATGTGCAATCAAGTGCCCTCATCACCCTACTGAATACTCCGGAGGTGAAAACGTACCAAGCCAGTTCTAGAGCATCCGCTGCCGTTCTGGCGTGCCTAGCGCTCTGTTGGGAGTCTGGCACGGCACCTACGCAAGTCCTCCAGGAAATTGTCCCCATCAGGCCAAGACCGTGGAAGGCGTGGTCTGAGTTTGTCGTGGAGAATATCAGGAAGAAGAGCACGCACTTCATGTATGGGGACAATGAGTCAACGGGCGACCTGGACGAACGGGAAAAGAAGCTTTTGCTCGAGCTCGTTGACGACGCTCATGCAGCATACGACCAATATATTAGGGATCACAATATATCCATTGCATAGCTGTACCGATATCTGCGCCATGTACATGTGCTTGAGTCTGCGCAGTGTAATTCTTCATTAAACTTTAGAAGCGATATGCAAGATTTTCTTGTTAGAACGTGTTCATGTGACTCGGTCTACTTACCGGCCATGGCATCGCACTGCATTACATAATTAGCCATCTCATCGATGGAGTCCACGTCCAACACGACGAGCGGGAACGGCGGACTGCTGGGGGTACGCCTTACACCAGAGCATTCGTGGCTCACAGGTGCGAAGGAGACAGGGATCCCCGAGGCTAGCCGCTACGCATGTTTTCGGACCTTCTGCATGCGTTGCTTGTAAGTAGCCTGTACGCTGGCCTCTTCTGCCGGGCCTGTGGATCTGATCATTGATGGTTGTGCATGTTCAAAGAAAATAAACAGATTTTACCTAGCAGCGACCGTGACACTGACCCGAATTCCATGTACAGGTCGAGTGGGCTGACACTCGACAAATGAACGATGTCGATGAACGATTTTCATTGGCAAAGGTTTCTGTAACGAGTTTCTAAGCACAAGATACCGCCGGCGAGTTGCGCCCAACGTCATGGCTGTGCTGTTGCTCATTTCTCCACTCCTTCGGTCCTTTGGGGAAACGCGGATTCAATCCAGCTTGACAGCCAATCCGGTCCAACGGTTATCACAATAATATATATGAACAATCCCTGCATTCTATCATTCTATCACTGATCTTTATCCTTATGCGTTCAGCATGCGGAAGGGCATATATAATTCCTGTCAGTATGGGGAGCGTATTAGCCCACCCGTACTGCTCCCTTCATCACCATGACCTCAATCTATTCCACTGAGGTGCGCTTTCAAAACTTAGGATTTCTTGGTGTATCATTAAACTACACTTACCTCTCAAGTTATATGTCACTACTGACCAAAGAACACTTGTCGAAGAACAGCCCCTCCCAGAGGCCCTTCGTTACATGTCCCTCTTGACGAGGGTACTCTGCTTTTTGGCACTTGGACGCCCAGATCTTGAAGATCATCGGAAGTCCCTCCAATCACAGCAAGCGTTCGAAACCGTTAGGAGCAGGTCATGCTCTTTCCTGGCCAGCACTATCACTACTGAGTAAATTATCTGACTCCGCGCGAGCTGAATCCGGCGCTGACATACTTTCAAAAAGGCAGGCGTGCTCCTCGCTATAAGTGGTATTTTCGTCACTACTGGCTCTCCTGTGCCATATTTTGACTATACATCACCCGTTCCTCATTGTCTGCTCTTTATATCGCTCATGCTCGCCATGATCGCACTGTTGATATCCGACTGGCCTAAGTATGATCAGCAATTTAAGCCAGGCAGCTACTTCGTGTTGTCCTACCTGTTGTCAATAGTCACCCCCATATTCTTTGTCGCTTGGTCCCTACATTGTTTCATATTTGGTGAGTTGTTCCATCATTCGAGGCTCTCTGATCCCTCATGCATTTCACCCCCAGCGATGTTGATAGCCTCTCAAACCATGGTCTGCCATGTCGTCACTGCGCTCTGGATGGTCACATACATTGAGACAATATTGATGGAAACTGCGTGGAAGTATGCGGCAAGCCTCAACCACGCTAGATATCGCCAGTAGTGTGACGCTCATGTAGAGTACGACCAATATATCAAAAATCACAATACATTCATACATGGTTGTACATGCCCGTCACCTTTCCCAAGGCGACGTAAAGGTTGGATTTTCAATATTTTAAAAGCGATATATGAAAATTGCTCGTTCTTAAGTCGACGTCCCCGTCGTAACTTCATACAGACCATCCCCAGGGCGCCATCCGAGCACCTCACTCCAGAACTCCAAGATCGGCTGCCATTCCTCCCTTAAGCTTGCGCGTGGCATACCCTCACCCGCACGCTCTACATCCTTTACTCGAGAGAAACCCTTCCTGAATGCATTTATTGCCCCACTCTTGAGCTCACGTGGGCGGCGAAAAACAAGAACAGGTGTCTCGCATGATTTCGAGAGTGTTGGGTATGAAAGCAGCGGGCCAGAAATAGTGACGAGCGAACCTAAGGGCCGCACGGGGGTCTCGTTGCTGGTCATGCGCGACTGTGATGAAAGTTCTAGCTCGCGACGCCACCACTGCAGACATGCTTCGGCTGCAACGCTTCCACCTTGTGCAAATCCGAACAAGTGGATGCGATGTGGAGGCCACCCACATTCACCCGTCAAATGGCCCAAGACATTCTTCAGAAGATTGAGTGCGGGACTGGGGTCTGGCCGTTCGATGAGGTCACCGAGTTGATCGAAGGAAGGATACCACTGAAAAGCCTGTTCGTACAGGAAGGGGACACTAATACATTGTTAAGCTCGATATACATACAACCAGGATGGCCGAATAGACACGTACAGATCGGGTGCGCGGAGCGCGAGGGTGGCTGTTTGAGGGAGCTTGAGTGATCTCCCAAGGCGCGTGAAAGGGACATTGGTATCACCTATTTACCGATGACTTCGTTCGGATTAGTTGCTCTAGCTAAGTGGTATGACGCCGCGCTCACCGAGCCCGTGCAGAAGAATAAGGAGATTCTCGTCTGTTCCGTCGTCACTAGGGGAGTAGGAGAATTGTGTGTGGATGGAAGAGGCTTGTGGAGCGGGTTTCACACGCGGAGAAGGGACGGATGCCTCTGCGAGGACGTGGATGTCTGGGGAATCCATTCAAGAAGAGTTTCCTTGAGCCTCTGGCCGCCTGAGTTGCTGTCATGTCTTATTAATATCTGTGAATATTTTATTTGGCCATGTACCACGTTAAGTCCCTCGGCTCAACTACGAACTATAGAAGCCAAGCTCGTAAATCATCTATCTTATCTGCTCATGAGATGTGCTAATCTAGCTGGCTCTGCAGACTAGTGCCAGATTGACTCCGACCTATCAGAGGAAAACAAGTTCCTTGTTATGCTGCAGGAACCTACATAATCAATTTGGCTACAGTGTAGTCAGGTCCACGACACTGCTACCGGTTTTTGTGGTTCTTCCCAGTTGAATTTGAATGGACCACTTGGCGGTGAGCACTTGTCAGGTACAGGTGCAGATGCAGGTGCAAGTGCAGGTGCAGGTGCAGGTACAGGTGACGAAGTTCTGGGGTAGTGCTGCCTTAACATTTTCTCGTGGAGTTTGGTCAGGATGTCAGCCCCATGCGGAAGGTTAGCGCCAGCGATCCTTTGAATAAGTGTCGGAAAGTCTTTCATGATAGTGGGAGTAACAATGTTCTGGAATAAAATCTCGACTTCCATCTCAAGAATGGCAGGAAACCTTCCGAAGACATGTTAACACCCCCATGGTAGCACAGATATATGAATAATCAACTAACTTGGATGTTAAAGACGAAGAGAGTTCCTGTAGGATGTTGTGCTCAGTTAGACTAGAGCGTATCGCAGCAAGCGCTTTGGCCTGCAATTTGTCGTGTTTTATCTGGTACGGTCCCAGTATGAGTTCACGTGGATTATCAATAGTTACATGAGACACACCTTGCATGCCAGCCGGTACATAGACTTTGGTGAGCATGGTGGGGCCTCACCGGGGCTGCGACGTTTTACTGACTTGCTGGCTTGTGATCGCAAAGGTGCAAAAACGATCTCGTCAGTGTACAGATAGTCTAATAAAGCCCGCCAGCTATGCAAAGTCAATGAGCAACAGAATCTAGCGCTAGGCTGGTAAACCGCACGTATTGAATGCAGTGTCTGTTACTAAGACTCTGCGGCTTGGAATGATACGTTGCGTCCCATTGGTAGCAAAGCTCTTAGTCGATACCGTTCGAGATACTCGTTCCGCAGAGACTTCCGCACACTTCTCATCTTCAACAGGTCAACCTAAGTGTGCCAAGATGGGTGGAACCACTTACTGTCTTGTACAGTTTCGTCGGTCTCCTCCTCTTCTTCATCAAGGTCACTATCGGACGCATAGCCATACTCATCGAGAGAGATCCCTCCTTCACAAGGGTGATAGTCTTGAAATTCGACCACAGCAGAATCATTCGACGTCTTTTCGGAAAGTACTGAAAGTGTCTGCTGAACTTGACTGAGTGGTAACAGAATTGCGAAATGGCTCACAGCTATTGAAATACTCTGAACCCGCGGTGAGGGCTTCGTCATTGGCAAACAATGCTTGAAGGTTGGTAACGTTGCCCTCACGCTTCGATCGAACGGAGAAGAGGTAAAATTGGGTGTCAAGAAGTTCCCCAGTAAGCGACTTCCTCAGCAGAGCATTAATCCGCGCCTGGTTGCTCGACATTGCAGAGCTGCTAACAGGCACACAGCGAGAACAGAAATGGTCGATTGAGATGGAGATAGAATTTTCGAAGACTTCGATAATATCGAGGATACCGTATTTATATGTCAAGCCTAATACTTAGGGTCAAAAACAGGTGTCCGAATGACGGTCGGATTGAGACGATACGCGTCGTGTTATATGCAACACGAAGGTCAAAGGGGAAGGACTGAGAAACGAATGGAATGTACATAGGAGGACAAAGGATGGAGTTTAAGCAATCGGACGCACAGATAAGGACTAGAAGTAGTGCTCGTGTTCAGCACGAGGTGAAACTGTGAGATAGTTGAGAGATAGTGGCGGGCGTAAAATTAAGAATCAGGAACGGATGTATCCAGATTCTGATGTCATAGTCATAGTAGTAGTACAGACATACGACCTCGCAAGTCGACCTATGCACGCAGCACTTTGGTTAATTCGTGAGATGAAAATCTAAAAACATATGTCGGGAAGTGGGGAGGAGCAGGTTTGACGTAACAACGAAAACGTGATTTTCGTGTAGAGTTGACCTCAGGGGTCTATGTGTGTCGAATTCCCTGTTGTAAGAGCATATTAAAACATGCTATGCTTGGTTTTCCGCCCCCGGGGAGTACTAGTTGGTTTAACATTTTTTCATGGAGTTTGGTCAAGATTTCAGCCCCATGAGGAAACCCGGTACTGCCAGCGCCGACGATCCTTTGAATGAGTATCGGAAAGTCTTTTGTGACCGTGGGAGTAGCAATATGCTGGAACAAAATATCGACTTCCACCTCAAGAATGGCAGGAAACCTTCAGAAAACAAGTGGGCGTGCCAATGGTGGAAAAAGGCATGACAAACTAACCTGGATGTCAGAGACGAAGAGAGTTCCTGTAGGACATTGTGTTCAGTCAGACTAGATCG